TGCTGCTGCTGCTGCTGCTGCTGCTGCTGCTGCTGCTGCTGCTGCTGCTGCTGCTTAGTGTTCAGCGTCCATTCTGAGTGGTGCTCTGTGGTGGAGGCAATGATAACCTTGCTCTCTTCCTTTGTAGGTGGGACCCTGATGCTTTGAGAGCTACAGCCATGAGTTTTGGTTAGTTGCTTAGTTTTGGGTTTACTGAGAGATATCATTGCATTATGTTGTCTTGTCTCACATGTAACTCACCTGCCTCAGGCTCCTGAGATCATAAGCATATACCACCATGCCTAACTCTGCAGTGTCTAAGATGCTCTGCAGTGTGCTGCATGACTCTCCTATGAATCTAAGATCTGAATCTAGCTTCCACTCTTTGGAGCGGGGCAAGCTAGTTGTTACTTGGATGCTCTACTATGAGAGCTGTACTGACAGTGTGGGGCAGCAGTTGCAGTCCAGGTCTAGAATGCTGTGTGAGCCCTGCTAAGGGTGGATCTGCCAGAATCTCTAGAAAATATTCTGAGTGGGCAGGGAGGTAACTGTGTGGGAGTTACGTGGCAAAGCTGACACTGTAAAATATAAGTGGTTGTACTTTTATTATCTGCATCCACACATATGTGTATATGTATTTTTTAAATGTATCTGTTTTATTTTAGGTTTATGAGTGTTTTGCCTGTGTGTATTTATGTATACCATGTGAATGACTAAGGACCTTGAGAACTAAACTTGGGTCCTCTACAAGAACAGCAAGTGCTTTTAACTGCTGATTCACCTCTCCAGCATCTGCATGGTTGGTTGGTTGGTCGGTCAGTTTGTTTGTTTTTGAGGTAGGGCCAAGATATATATATATCTCCTGGAACTTGCTGTATAGAGCTTGCTGGCTGGCCTCAAACTTAGAGATCTGCCTGCCTCTGCCTCCCTAGTGCTGTAAAGGTATGTGCCATGTCTGGTACTTTGCTATATTTTTGGAAATTTATATGATAGCACACTGGGGTGGGGAAACATCCTGAGGTCTGGAAGGATAAGTAGGAGTTTAATGAAAAGAAAGGACATTGTTGTCAGAAGGCCATCCCCTCACCATCCCTGAGCAGTGTGGTGAGTTCGTGAGGCCACCTCTCATCCTTGAAAGTCTAAGCCATGTTTGGAGATGACCCTTGGGCTCTAGAAGATAATGCCCAAGGCTCCAGAGAGCCTTGGGACTGTTTGCAGCAACATACCATGTGCTCTCTGACTTGCAGGTCTTCCACCTTCCATTGGCCAGCAGTTGGAATGAGAACTGACTGACTTTTTCCTTCCCTTTCCCCCAACCAAGGCCCCAAGGATTGCTGCTAAGCCATGAACACTAGACAGGGTCCTGCTTTCCTGCCCTGGCCTTTGTGGTGGAGTCTGCCCTTGTTGGAGAGCCTCTTCCAGGGTTCACAGTTCCTTCTCCAAAGCTAGAGAAGCTCACACTGGCTTCTCCAGGGTAGGAGCCTCTGGAGAGCCAAGAGGAGGGGTCTGGTCTGTTCAGAGGAACATCTGGAAGGTCCAGATACCGCCATTCCTTGTGTGGTGCTCAAGAAACTGATAGTGCTGCTCTGGCTAGACAGAGAGGATGACAGGCCCTGGTCGGATCCAGGGTGGAGGGAGGCTCAAAGAATCTTTTTGTTCAGGTAAACACCTGACTCTTATCTACCTAAGTGCAGTCTCTTCTGGCCTATATTTGAGTGCATCCACGATAATCTACTTGGGCCAAGCCTTGATCCCTGAGGCTGAGCACTGTGGGAAGAGAGAGCACAGTCAGGCCTAGGACACACAAGTTTCATAGCATGGAAAGCTGAAGCACTGAGTGGGTAGAGGGCCACTTCCCTTGTCTATTCATTCTCTCAGGGACATTGGAAAGTGCTGCTACGTGTCGCCCTTGGTGGTAGGAAAGTGGGAAGAGAGGTAGGTCTCCTAACCAAGACAGTGGGGTGATGAGACAAAAAGAGGCAAAGATTGCCTGTGCTTGCTGTGACTAGATCTGGTAGTCTGTAAGACCCATCTTCAGACTGAGGTGGTTCTGAGGTGGAGCTATGAGAAGGTTGGCCAGCTTTGGTGCCTGTTCCCAGATCTGACTGGATTATTAGCTCCCCCCAGTGTCCAGGAACAGTATTTCACTTCTGCCTTGACCCCGATGGCCCACAGGAAAGCTGAGAGGCCAGCCTGATCAATCTGCCATGTTTCCTCTGTAGCATCCTCATTTTGACATACAAGAGGGCACGGCCCTAGCAGGTGCTTAAGGCTCTCTACAAACAAGAGCCTAGCTAGGAGCTTGCTCTGGGGCAAGGGGGCTCCTATAAACCAGCCCATGAGGTACAGGGTCTGTCTTAAGGAGACGATGCACTGAAGGGTTGAGAGAGCTCCTGTGGTGGCTGAGGGTGGCAGGTGTGTCTTTGGCCAACAGGAAAAGAACTCTGAGAACTGTAATGCTTCTGAGATCCCAGTAACTTAACAGACATGCCACTGTAAACTACATGATGCTGCCATAAGATACGGTCCAGTTGTGCCATTGCTGGCAATGCAAGTAGAATGGCCTCATTCGTGGAGGGTCTTTTACTCTGACCACCAATCTGTGTTCTAAATGTAACATGTTCACTAGAGAGATTCTGTTTCTGAGGAACTCATGCTATGCAAGGGCTTGCCCAAGTATGTAAGAATTGGCATGAGTATTAACTGCTACATTGTTTGGGTTGGCCAAAAAGAAAAATTACAAAAGCTATGTACTCAACAGTAGCAGGAGAGCAAGATCTGTCCAGTGTGACATCCAGGTGAAGAAGTGATTCAGGCTGTAGGAAGTGGTAGGCAAAGGAGCCTAAGAGATTTTGTTGAAGAGAAGCAAGCACAAAGAATCATGCTTTTCTATCTTAAAAATAATTTGTACTGGGCCTGAGAGATAGCTCAGCAGTTAGGAGCACTGACTGCTCTTGCAGAGGACTCAGGTCTGAGTACCAGCACCCAGCTTGTGCAGCTACTTGTGCATCTCCCTGTGATTCCTGTCCCGGGGATCTGACACAGTCTTCCAGCTTCCACCAGCACCTGCGATCAGGTGGTGCACAAGCATACTCTCAGGCACACAGACATAAAACAAAAGCTTTTAAAATGATTTGTAGTTAGTTGTTGAAGTCATCTAACACCTGTGTAGTGACAATTCTGGAATTTTGGCTTCTTTAAAAACACAGAGATATTATAAGAGAGTATTTTTGTTTTAATCCCAGGTGTAGGATATGAGGCTGCTCTGAACTGATCACAGCAACTGACTATGATTTGCCACGTGCTCTAGCAGGGGCGTGGTTTTACCAGCTGCAGATGGCTTCTGTGACTGTGTAATGTGTGGAATTCTGGGAACCTTTCAGAGGGTCTATAAATGATAGGGCCCTGAGGTGTCAGTTGGTGGTTGGTGGTCGTTCAGGGGATTGGATGTGGCTTATTAATAGTCCTCAAGAAAAAATAAGAAGATTAGATTCAGGGAGATCTCCTCTCTCTCTCTCTCTCTCTCTCTCTCTCTCTCTCTCTCTCTTTCCTTTGTCCTTCTTTCTTTCCTGTGTAGTAATAGGGGGTGAAACTGGTGGGATAAAGAATCCACAAAGTAGCAAAGACTGGCTACACACTTGAGATGCCAGGACAGTGTGCAGTACAGCCTTAACACTACAGAGTGATGGTTTTAACTTAGAACCAAAATCAAACATAGGTGAAAGCTTAACTGACAGAGACAAAGCAAAATGGGAGTTACGATATTATTTCAGCCGTCCAGATGTGGTCCAGGGAGTGTCCTTCCTCATAAAATTGCACCAAAGCTTTTTTCTGTATGTGATGGTTTAATTACCTGTTTTGTTTTTAGTGGAATTATAGGAATACATCTGCTTAAATAACTTTATTCAATTTTATCTTTATAGGTATCCCATATTGATTTTCAAATTATTTGCATTAAATATTCTTTTTAAAACTGAGTGGTACTAACATATACTTGTGTATACACAGCAGTATGTGTGTATGTGTGTGTGTATGTGCTTGCTCATGTGTGTATATCTCTTGTGTCTGTGTATCTTTGTGTATGTGTGTGTGTGCATGTATGTGCATATCTGTGTGTGTGTGTCTGGGTATCTGTGCATTCGTGTGTGTGCATGTGTGTGCACATCATTTTGTGTGCGTGCATGTGTGTGTGTGTTTGTACATGTTCATAAGCCTACAGAAGTACTTGCTTCCTCTGAAGCAGGAGAGGAGGGAGCTGTTACTTCACATTCTGCACACGTCTGGTTTTATGAACAAGCATGTACTCCTTCCGTGACTTTCAAGAAACAGTACAAATCCTTTCAAAGGCAGTAGAACATGAGAAAAGCATTCCCAGCAGGCTCTGCTAGAAGTGCATGTTTCCTAGGAGTTGAACAGGACCTGCCGAGCCATGCAGCACCGCATAGTAGAGCTCATCTCCCGAGTGTCCAATGAGGAGGTCACCGAGGAGCTCCTGCATGTCAACGATGACCTCAACAACGTCTTCCTTCGCTATGAGAGGTGGGCCAGAGTCCTTTCGGTCTTTTTCCTTGAGAAGATGATTGGTATATCAGAGGAATTTCATTCATAAACAAAGCAGGGAGAGGGAGGCTGAGAGAGCCTGGGAGGTGTTAGAGATGGGGAGTAGTCATCAGAGATGCTCGTTTGCTCTTGGATGACAGAAAGACTGCTTCTTGTTCTCCAGAGAACAGAACAGCCAGCAGCTGACTGCAGAATCCACCTCTGCTCCTTGTGAGTCCCAGGGAGGGCTGAGACAGGGTTTGCACCTGCTCCTTTGATGATCCTTTGAATCTGAAAGGGACTGGGGGAGGGGAACCTTTACTAAAGAACAGGATTTCCTCTATTTCTAGTCTTGAAAAAAGATCATTCGCTTTGTAAATGTCAGTACTTCTTGGGTATTGAGTGAAGTAGCCTGGGTGTGAGCACTGTTTCTCTGGGGAAACACACTTTTCTTCAGTTCTCCCTGCAGCCAAACCACTTAAAGTGACAAACTTGGACCCTCTTTTTTTCTTTCCAAAGCCTCCCACAGGACAGAGTTTTTTTTTTTTTTTTTAAAAAGTCTCTTCTGGACCTAGCTTTAAGTGAGTAGCAGCGAGAACAGCTCCCATCTGTACCGATTTGAGCACTTCCCAATTGGCCCAGGGTTGTGGCTTGCCTTGACTCTAGGCCAACCTTCTCCATTAAGAAGCCTGACAGCAGTATGAGCCCCTTGGAGGCTTGTGGCCACTCACTGCTGAGGGCAGCTTTCTGTGTAAGTTTGTCAGAGGACAGTGATCTGGCATAAGTAAGAACAGCACACAGACTGTGCTTGCATGTGCTTTGGAGGCTCTTGCAGCCCAGTGAGTTCATTTAACCCTTCACTGGAGATGTATACCAGGAAGTAATGTGTGACTGCTGCCCATAAGCTAACTGGTCTGCAATTACAAAGACTTCAGAAGCACCTCTGCAGCATCAGAAACAGCCATAGAAAAACCACACATCTTTCTGGTTTCCTGGATATTGTTTAATTTATTTTTTTATTATTTTATTTATTTATTTATTTATTTATTTATTTATTTATTGGTTTTTTCGAGACAGGGTTTCTCTGTGTAGTCCTGGCTGTCCTGGAACTCACTCTGTAGACCAGGCTGGCCTCGAACTCAGAAATCCGCCTGCCTCTCCCTCCCAAGTGCTGGGATTAAAGGCGTGCACCACCACTGCCCAGCTGTTTAATTTATTTTAATGAGATTTTTGTTTTTGTTTTTCGGGGTATAGAGAACAGGAGATCACTCTGTGTGGCCTTGAACTCACAGGAGATCTCTGTGTGTGTGTCTCTGTCTTTCTATCTTTCTGTATAGACACACGAAATCGAGCGTGCGCACGCATAAACACACGCACACACAACACACACATACATATCTCAAGACTGGCCTTGAACTCTTAACCTTCCTGCCCCAATCTCTCTCCAAATGCTCAGATTATAGTTACCCACCACCATGCCCATTTGGTCTTTTTAGTTCTCCTTTATTTTTTGTTTGTTTGTGTGTTGGTTGATTGTTTTTGTTTTCTTTTTTTTGTTTTGTTTTCAATACACCCCCTCCTTTTACTACTCCCAGTCCTCACCCCCTCTCCCTCAGCTCTGTTCCTTCCTCCTCTGTTTCCCTTCAGAGAAGAACAGCCGTCCCAGGGATATCAACTGAGTTCTGCAAAACAAGGGGCAGTAAGACTAGACACAAACCGTTATACCAAGGTGAGGGGGAGGAAAAGTGTCCCAAGAACAGGCCAAAGAGTCAGAGACATCGCCATTCCTACTGTTAGGAGTTCAGCTAAAACACCAACTTAACAACCATAACATATATACAGAGGACCTAGCACAGACCCATGCAGGCTCCATGGTTACCACTTCATTCTCTGTGCCCTATGAGTGAGTCCTGGCTAGTTTATTCTGTGAGACTTGTTCTGGTGTCCTTGACTCCTCTGGCTCCTACAAATCTTGTGAGTTTTTTGTTCTTTTTGTTTGGTTTGGTTTTGGTTTTGGGTTTTTTTTGTTTGTTTGTTTGTTTGTTTGTTTTGAGACAGGGTCTCTCTATGTAGCCCTGGCTGTCCTGACACTAACTTTGTAGAACAGGCTGACCTCGAACTCATAGAGATCCTCTGCCTGTGCCTCCTAAGTGCTGGGATTAAAGGCATGTGCCACCATGCCTGGCCTATAAACACAAACAAACAAAAAAATAAACAAATAAACAAGTAAATAAGGGGCCAGTCTCTGAGCTGCCATGGTTCACTTATGTCTGCCCACCTTTCTGAATCAAGCCTGTCTTCTTTCCTGTCTTTTTCTCTCAGATGCTGGCCATAGCCTAAGCATGCTTTCTCTGGCTCGCTGGTATTTTCCAGTCTCACCTAAAGCACCCCTCTTTGCCACACAACTCTTTGCTCTCTTGAGTCCCACCTGTGCGTCTACAATAAACCCTCTAAAACTCAAACCAAACAAGCCCACAGTGTACACCTAGTCACACTGGTCCCTAGTCCCAGATGCTGATCACACCTACTGTGGTGGCAGCATAGGGCAGTGCCTCTCTGGTCTCTAGTTTCCCAGCTGTAGCTGAGGTGAGGTGGTTGGCTTCCCCTCTGCCTGTGTCATTTGGAGCTTTTACATAGAATACAGAACAAGATCTATTGTCCTCTATGGACACTTCACAGCTTCTACCAGGTTAAGAATGACTTCTGGCAGAGGGGGTGCTTTTCTTCAGTTGCTCTCAGCTAAGCTCCCTTTGGAGCCATCTGCTGCCTGGGTGTAAAGGGGAGTGTCCCTGGCAGGGCCCACTCCATCTTGTCTTCCTGGCAGCCCTTAGGTAGGTGGCACAAAACATCTTATGGTTTCTGGCAAGGCCTTTCTCCAGTTTCTCCCTTCTCTTCCTGAGGTTGGGCTAGGCGTATTTTTAGCCATAAGCTGATTACCCCCAAGCAGAGTTCTGTGGAGCAGAGGGAGCTCTGCATTCACCTGCCAGGCTCCACAAACAACCATGTGGAGAACTGGTGACCCAGTCACACCTTCAGAGAGTGGAGGAACATTGGGGCCAGATGTGTGAGGAGATGGCTGGGGATGCATCTGGTGGCCTCCTCCTAGAACCAACTAATAAATACCCTGTTCTGATGCCAGCTCAGGGTGCTTACGGGAGAGGCAGTGAAGCTAACCCTGTAAGACAGGAGTCCCAGGCCAAGGAAAGCATGACACATTGAACATGTGAGGTCCCCTCCACTACAGTACTGACCATTCTTCTGCCTCTGCTGGGTCCCAGTGTTCTCAGGACTAAGAACACAGCCCTTTGGTCCTCACTCACATCCTCCTTATGTCTGCTGTTCTTCCTGATAGGTTCGAGAGGTACAGGTCCGGCCGATCCGTTCAGAATGCCAGCAATGGAGTAAGTGTACTTTGGAGCTTCCTTGTCTTCTGAGATGGGCACCTACCCGTACACACATTAGAGCTTGACTTACTCAGGCCTCACTTTCTAACTGGGACCAAATACAAATACTTGGGTAACCACACAGCAAGCTCTGTTTGAAAGGAAGCTGGAGAGCTAGCAGGCATCTTGATGGCAAAGGCAGAGGATGACAGTCCACAGTCATTAGTGAGGCAGTGTTCTAGTGACTCAGTATGCCTTCCGTGAGCAGGGAAAAGCGGAGGGCAAGGCATGGGGCTCATTGCTAACCTGAGTCCACCATGTACCCTTCAGGTAGGTAAGGAGACCCATCCTCCATTGGCTGGACAGCTTTGATGCCCTTTCTCGTGAGTGCATGCAGATCTGTATGGGGTTGCTGGAACATAACCCAAGGGCTGACCTTACTGTCAATCTCATTTCCTGACAGGTACTAAGTGAAGTTACTGAAGACAACTTAATAGACCTGGGCCCAGGCTCTCCCGCTGTGGTGAGCCCCATGGTGGGAAGCACCGCACCCCCATCTTCTCTCTCCTCCCAACTCGCAGGCTTGGGTGAGTGTCTTAAAAGTGGGGGAAAGGACCTCCTTCTTCCCTCCCTCCCTGGATGTCTTTCTCTTTGTTGCATTTCTCTTTGGAACAGTCCCCATGAAGGTGTGCTCCTGAGTCCCAGCCAGTTGCACTACCTTCACTTTATAACCTCCTTCCTGAAATATGAAGTTTAAGCCTTTATTGGGAAGTAGAGGTGGAGGAAGTTCTGATGATGTAGAAATTGTTTCCTTTTCAAAAGACAAGTAACTTTCCATGTTTTATCTGGAGTATTCTTTGTGCTTGAAATGATTTGTTTGTCATGTTTAACTAGGTTAAAGGTGGCAAGTGTCTTATCTTGCTGGCTGCTCAGAACATAGGTTTGAAGGGCAGTTACAGCCACGTTGTCCTAGTTTCATTTCTGTAACTGTAATAATTACCCTGACAAAAAAGCAACATAGGGGCCATGTATTTGGTTTACAATTCCAAGTTGCACTTCACTGTAGGAAGGTAAAGGCAGGAACTTGAAGCAGCTAGTCACATCCACAGTTAAGAACAGAGAGAATGAATGCATGTATGCTTATTTGCACTCAGTCCCAACCTCTACATTTTACAGTCCAGAACCCGAACCCAGGGAATCTTGCTGTTCACAGTGGATGGGCCTTTCCACTTCCATTAGTGCAATCAAAACAACCCCCCCAAAATGTGGCCACATCCCAACTTGATTTAGAGTCCTTCGTTGAGATTCTCTTCTCAGGTGATTCTAGATTATATGAAGTTGACAATTAAAGCTAACTGTTATACATCAATCCCTAAAAGATGAATCTGGGATGAATTGGCAATGTCTGCACAGGGCCAGGAAACAGAAAGTGGTGGTATGATATATTTGCCTATCTCAAACTATACCATCAACCTCAACTGTTCTATTGTATGACATTTAGGAGAGACTCCTCATTTTTCCACAGTGAAAGTGTGTGAATGACTCTGTATGTTTCATTTATATCAAGTTATATAAAATTAAATTCTAATATTGGTGAAACTAATAGCCATGGCTTTCAAAATTCTTTCCTCTACTTTGAGTTTATTTTTTCTTTTCTATATTCATTCCACTTCAATTGGATTAAACTTTTATTCAGTGGCCTGTCCGTTGTTACAATTCTGGTGTCTCAGTTTCCTCTGTAGCATATATCTAAGGTAGAGTAGACTGTCCCTTCAATCTATCTGGCTGATGACATATATTTATATATGTGTCACATATATATGTATAACTTTAAATTTAAATTAGAATGATTTATTTATTTAGTGTGTGTGTGTGTGTGTCAGGGAGAGAGAGAGACTTTGTGTATGTGCACATGTGAAGATAAAAGAACAACGTGTGGGAATTGGTTCTTTCCTTCTACCATGTAGGTTTTAAGGATTAAATGCAGAACATCCACCTTGGTGGCAAGTCCCTTTATTTGCTGAGCCATTTCACTGGCTGTATAGTGGCCTGGCTGGAACTCAATACATAGCCCAGGCTGGTCTTGAATTCACAGCAAGCCTCCTGTCTCAGCCTCTCAAGTGCCAAGAGTTCAAGTGTAAGCTACTATATTTAATAGCTAAAATTCAAAGTGTGTCTCCTGCTTTTCCATTTGATGCTTTACCTTAGTGGTCAGCTCTTTTCTCCCTCTTTAGCCATGCCTTTCATGCATCCCTCTCAAGGTCTAACACTTCCAATGCCTGGCTCTCCAAACCCTAGTGTCTGTCTATCTTCTTCCCCTTCTGCAGCACACCTCCCCGAATCTTGAAGGACCCACCTGAGCCTCTCTCAGCATGTGAAGCCAAACACTGCAGGGTTTGGTCTTCCTAGCTGCTGAGTGGTGCATGAGCTCCTGAGGCCAAGGACCGTGTTGATTTCACCTGGTGTGTTAGAGCTCTGGCTCTGAGTGCCCAGGGTATACCTTCCAAGTTAAATTTGTCTGTGAGTGGCCATGGTGGGGCCTGAGGAAGCTGCAGGCACACTCACCCTGCTCACCCTTTCACCTCCAGCAGTCTCTTCTCTGTCCTGGATACCTCTCTCTCCTTAAGCAGTTTCAGATTCAGGACAAAGCCTGTCTGGCCTCGCTTGCCCTGGTTCTTGTGTATGCTGCACTGGGAGCTGAGGACACCTTCTCACCACAGTGTTGTAACCCATTGGACTAGCATCCTGACTTTTGGGGGCACTCCATCAAAAACTCGTATTTTGGGGGGCCAACAAGATGATGGCTTAGTGGATAAAGATACTTGGCATGCAAGCCTAACAACCTGAGTTGCATGTATACAGACACTCAGAGACGGACAGGCAGACAGACAGACAATGATAATGATACAATAATAAAACAGTTTTACTAGCTTTTTATACAACCCACATTTATTGTCATCTGCTTCTTGTTTTGTTGTCACAGACTTGGGGACAGAGAGTGTCAGTGGCACCCTCAGTTCACTTCAGCAATGCAAGCCACAAGATGGTTTTGACATGTTTGCCCAGACCAGAGGAAACTCCTTGGCCGAACAGCGAAAGACGTATGTGGGACTCTTTTGAGTGGCTTTCTGCAGATACTAGTGGGTGAGGGGATGTTGTCCCAGCCTGGTCACATTAAAAGGAGAAGCAGCCCTTTCTTTACCAGATCTAAGACTGCTAGAAACTTAAAAATATCACTGTGAGGACTTGTTAACTGCTAAAACTGAATGAGTGCCGGCCCAGTCTCCCTTTCTCCTCTGCCTCAGGGCTGTCTGTTCTGTTCCTCACAGATTGATTTCTCTTTTCTACAGCCCTCTCAGGACTGAGGATAAATCCTACTTCCCTAATTCCCTCATTCAGCCTCTCCCCACAAAGCAAGCAACCAGACCCGTTCCCAGCATACAACCAATTGAAGGAAAAGCAAAAAACAGAATACTTCAGAGCAGAGGCTTCTCCAAGTAGTTTGGGCAAGACAAGCCATACACAAATGGGGGAACTGATTCCAAAATGGACAGCCCCTGCATCTGGGAGTAGTACACCATCCACTCAGCCTTGTAACATAATTACTTTGCCTTCTGAAGCCTCTTCTTTTGAGTACTTCCAGAACACTTTTGACATCTTTCTCTTGAGCTTCAGTATTGTTACTCAAGGCAGGGATGTTTGAAAAGTGTGGTATCCCTGGTCTTAGAGGACTGACTCTAGGCGTGAGCTGGTGCCAAAACTTACCTCCACATCTCATCTGCTGGGAGCAGACAGCCAGAGAGTCCTTAGCCTCTGTCCTAGGCCAAGATCACACTTGAGGCAAGCACCATGAGATAGGAAAAAGATTACAGGTCACAGCATAGCTCTGCACCCACTGGGAGAGAGCTCATTTGCACTGCTTTTCTTCAGGGTCACCTATGAGGATCCCCAGGCTGTTGGAGGACTCGCTTCTGCACTAGACAATCGGAAACAGAGCTCAGAAATGGTAGGTCTTCAAGCCTGTGTTTTGCCCACAGTCTTCAGGAGATAAGGTGATAAAGACAGACAGTTTGGGAAAGTTGGCTGGATAATTCAGCAGAAGATGGCAGAGACAGCCTAGGGAAGACACCAGGGAGTACCTCTTGGTGGTGGGTAGTGCACTGATAAAATATTGATCCTCACAAGGAAAGTAAATGCTGATCTGAGCCACTCACTACTGGCCTATCAAAGTAGTACCAGTTCCAGGGGAAGGCAGTTGAGGGTCAGAACCTGTCTGTGAGGTGGCTTGGATAGTGTCCTGTCATACTCTGGGCCTGGAAAGAGTCAAGCCAAGAGTCAGAAGGTTTTGAAATAAAGGATGACATTTGTGTTAGCCCCAAACCACAGCCAGTTCCTGTGAGTAGTCAGATCCCAGGGGAGAAGGCTCCCAGGGGAGAAAGCAGTATGTGTGCACTTGATACATTTTTGCAGATATTTCTCTTTTGAGTCTGTCCAGGAAATGTATGGGAATGCATGCCTGCCTGCCTGGCAAGGCAGAAGAGGGCTCCCAGGACCCCCTGGGCTGGAATGAAAGGGGACTGTGCCCACCCATTCACTGGACAAGGAAGGGCCCTTTACTTCCTAAACCAGATCTTAGCCTCCTGTGGTCTCTGTGTAAAGAGACTGGTGGGGGACAGGTGGGGACTCCCTTTCTGAGCTGGCATATGTACCTGTATAATGGCTGCCAGGAGGTGCAGAAGAGCCCACCCACTGCCTTGATCTCAGCATCCTGCTGTTGCACAGTGGTAGCCTTCTGTGTCATTGACCATCCTACACAGTAGTCTCTGTTCTTTCTCCCACTACTTAGACTATCTCTGCATTGAACCCAGCAGGGGAATTAGAGAGACAGGCCAGGGGCCTGTCAGTATACTTCCTAATAAAGATGAGGATGACCCTTCCTCCTTGCTCACGTCAACCTGGAGCAGCCTTGTCCCCCAGCAGGCTCTTTGCTCTCCACCCACCATGCTAGCTTGTGTCCTGTTCTGACCCAGGCCATTATCAGTGCCCAGGCCCAGATCCAAGTCCAGGAGACGTGGTCTGTTTCTCACCCATCACCCTTTGAATGCGTGGCTTGGCCCAGCTCACTGTTTGCAAAGGTCTTGCTGATTTCAGCAGATTTACAAATGATAGTAGGCAGATTGCTGTTCCTGTTGTTACTGAGGCAAGGACTGGCCTCAGCAAGAAAGACTGACAGGACATGGGACGGTCATGTGTGTATCTGTGTGTGAACACATCTGCAGGCTGTCCTGACCCTTCCTAGGCCATGCTGTCCTGGCATCAAGAACAGAGCAAAGAAGAAAAGGTTGTATAGCCACACCTCTGCAAGTAAGAGCCCACCTCTAGTTAGACCATTTAAAGAAGCAGGAGAGGGCTGGGAAATGACTCAGCAGGTAAAGGCACTTATTGCCAGCCTTATGCTTGACTTATAGCCTCAGAACCACAAGATGGGAAGAGGGAACTGACTCCTACAGGTTGCCCTCTGACCTCCACCCACAGAGTGGCATGCATGCACAGACGTGCATGGATATGTGCACATACAAAAGGAATAGTTTTTTTTTAAGAATTATTTATTTATTTTATGTATCTGAGTACACTGTCTTCAGACACACCAAAAGAGGGCATCAGATCCCATTACAGATGGTTTGAGCCACCATGTGGTTGTTGGGAATTGAACTCAGGACCTCTAGAAGAGCAGTCAGTGCTCTTAACCACTGAGCCATCTCTCCAGCCCATGAATGTTTTGTTTTGTTTTTTAATGCAGGAGGTCTGTGGGTGTAGCTCACTTAGCTAGTGTATACCATGTTCTGGGATCAGCAGAACCACCACAAATAAACAAACACATAAATATAAGAAAGCAAGGAAGAATATGCTGAATTCAGCATTCAAGTCAAGAATTTAAGAAAAAAAATACTTGGGCCACTAGGATGGAGAAAAGAAAAGAAAAAAGCAGAGTGAGTTAGAAAAGGCTAGTTCCCCTTCAGCCAGGCATAATAATAACAGAGGACTGAGACAGGGGGATTAGGAATGCCAGGTCAGCCTAGGGTAGAGAAAAGAAAAGAAAGAAAAGAGAGAGTTAATCTGTCTGCTCTGGTGTTTCTATCATGAGAAATCGGGCCTGGAGACCGACCTCTCAGGCTGCTCAGAAGCCTGTAGGTGTTGGAGAGCAGTCAGCACGAACACTTTGTTATCCAGCCTAGGGGGTATGGTGATTGAATTTTCCTTCTCTTTTCCAGGCATGTAGGCGGGGTGTGTGCTAGGGCAGGGGTGGGAAGCATCAGATCACATTTCCTTGTGTGACAGATGATCAAATCTGAACAATGCCTTTTCTCTTTAACAATATGTGGTATGACGTTTCTTTTTGGGACTTTTCTGTCCTTGGCCCAACAGAGAGGGAGAGGTGGGGACTCTGACCTGCAGCCCATAGACAGCTGGCTCATGACCCAAGGAATGGTGAGGAGCCAGAGCCGGGTCAGCTCGCTGCCCACCCCAGCCCCTCACCGTGCAACAGTCGGCACCTTCCTCTTGCCACCTGCCCAGTGGCAGACAGGACACAGAGCCCTCCGTTGTTCTGGGTGCCAAATCTCCCTGTGTCTATGTGGAAACTCCATAAGGCCCCAGACTTCCAGCTCCAGAAACACCTTCTCTGGCATTCTGCTGAACCTACACCCCTGGGTCTTTGTGGGCTAGGGTGTTTGCAGGTATGAGGGGAGCCTTTCCCTTCTCCAGCAGACTGGAGTTCTCGGCAGTATTCGTTTTTCCAGGATGAGCACAAGTAACCATGGCTTGTGCCCAATGGGAGGGGCTGTTATAAGATGACTCCTTCATATGGCCCGTCAGAGAAGCTTCCTCTTGCCCTGTGCCTGGAAATTTGGCAAGCCTAGGCTTGGTGGGCTCCTACAGTACGATAGGGTCTTACATACGGCCTGGCGATCTCGTGTGTAAATGTATAGATGATAGTAAGAGAGGGGAAAGAGGATAAAGCCTGAGCTGAGTCCCAGGCTGTTTGCCTCAGGTTGGCCACTTCACCCCCAAGTACAGAATCAAATCTCTAGGTGCATGTGCTGGGGGTGGGGCAGGTGAGGATACAAAGAAATAAACATGTGGACCGACCTCTGCCCTCCAGACAAACGTGGTAAGTCAGATTTAGATCTAGGCCTTGGTATCAGGCCAGGAGGGACCCAAGTGGGCGGGTGTCCATGTAGGACTTATAAGTGACAGGCTGCTTGCAGCCCAGGGGCCACCTACTTAAGAAAGGATTAGACACGGGTACAGACAGGGTCTGCAGGCTAGTTCAGTGGTGCCCGAGCTCTCCAGCTCCCTCAGCAGCACACACTCACTCTGAGTAAGAAAGCAGTTGTTTCTTTGATGGAAGGGCTGCCCCTGCAAGTATGGGCCCTTCATTTTCTTCTGCAAGGTCAGGCTGGGCCCTGACCTTGAAGTAGGCTTCTTAAAACTGTATCTCAATTATCCAAATTGAGAGGACCTAGCTGTGTGCTCTTGTGCCTGTTAGCCCTGCAAAAAAGGATACTGCCCTGCAAACTACCTGATGTGGCCTGGGCAGTTGGTGATGGTGCCTGTCTTTGTCCACACAAGCTGTCTCTACTCTTCCTTTCCCGTATAGAGCCCCAGTTTTCAACTTCCAAGAAACAAGTCCAGCTAACAGCTAACTTAGTGTCTCACCTTCCTGCCTACAATTTTTTCCCTGTTAAAACAATGTGTGTTAACTGCTTTGCCTTATTTTCTGTAGTATAGAAATCCTACCTTTCCAAACCTCTCAAGTACAGATTCTTCATATGGAAACTTTGTGTAGTGCTGAGTGAGACCAGGAGCTTTAGAACATCCCTCCCTTTGAGTTGGGGTGGAGTGTCACAAAGTTTCATGACTCCTCTAGAGATAGCTCCTAGTACAGACTTGCACCATTGGGTAGGTGGGTGTCCTTTTATGCTTGGAGCTGGGAACAACTGTGGAAGAGGTCTGTCCTCTCCTGGAACTTCAGGTGTGAGGGGCAGCTTGCACAGTTAGGTCACTACACCAGGCGTGTTGGCAGGTGAAAGTAGGCAAGATCTGGCTTGAGCCCAGGGTCAGTGGCCTTCCCTCCCTTCCCTTCCTAGACTTTGAATCTTTTCTGCTACTTCTGGCTGGTGATCACTTAGGATCATCTCCCACTTCCAGGGTATAAGCAGGGAAATCAAGAGCATGAAAGCTGGTATGGAAAAGCCTGCCTCTGGTCTCAGCACTGGGCAGACTGAGACAGGAGGCTCATAGTGTGAGCTAGCCTGGGCTACGCAGAGACCAGTCTAAGGTGAATAATGGGACCTTGTCATATACACACTCACACAAGTAGAAGACACCATGACAACAACAGTAATCATGTCAAAGCAAGAACAGAAGCAGTAGACTATTCCCTCACACTCATTCATGGTCCTATGTTGCTCCCCAACACCAAAGGAGCAGGGCAAGGAAGAACAACAATGGGTTCTAAAAAGGGGACTGGAGAGATGGCTCAACAGTTAAAAGCACATACTGCTCCTGTAGAGAACCCAAGTTCAGCTCCCAGAATCCACACTGGGATGGCTATAACCATAGCTCCAGAGAACCTTATGTCCTCTTTTGGCCTCCATGAGCATGTGCACTTACATGAACATACCCCCACACAGGCAGACAGACAGACAGACAGACACACACACACACACACACACACACACACAATTAAAAATTAAAAACAGTAATGAAAACCTATTGCTGTGATAGGCTAACACTAGTTATCTCCACTCTATAACCTGGCAGACACTCAGACTTAGCAAACCAAAGGAAAAACCAAAACCAACCAACCAATCAACTAACAACAACAACAAAAACCAAAAAAAAGAAAAGCAAAAACAGCTGGATCCAGTGGCAGCACCTCCCCTCCTCTGTTCCTAAGGTGGAGTGGCCCTGCCTGAAGCTCCTGTCTTCTGTCCATCACCCAGAACCTAACCTGTCACCCTGGCATCAGACATACCTGAATCTCTTTGAACTCCATAGATGGGCTAGGTGTTGTTACCTAGGTGGCTGTCATGTTCACTTGGGCCAGCATTTGGCCTTGGTCTCTGGGAGGGTATTCTGGGTGGAGTCCTTTCTCTTCACCCCCTCCTGTCTGTCTCCCTCATCACTCTTCAACCTCCTCTAACAGCCTACAGCTTGGACCAGGGTCCAAGAAGATGCTAAAACCATGGCATGTGAAAACCACAGCTTCCTAGAAATCTGCAGGATGGGCCCCTCATATGAAGGATATAATGCTAAGGCACCCAAGGGCCTAGTGACTTGCTCAAAGCCACAGGGCAGAGGCACACTAAGACTCCTGCCATGCTCCCTTCCCTCTCTCAGCTGGGGAGAGTTGTGGGGAGGTGTTTCTTCCTTGTTCTGGGACTCCACAGGCTATATTTTCCAGTGAGTGTACATGCCTGGGTCTGGGTGTACCTATGTGGTGAGAGGGATACTCTGCCTGCTTCCCAGAGCAGGTTCATAGCTCTGCTCCTGTATCAGCCCCCTGCCTTCTGTTAGCCTAGCTGATAAGCAGCACCCACCTCCTCAGAATGTGTCCCAAGACACTCAGTTCCAGTGACCAGATGCCTTTGAGTTTCTACATTAGAATACAGAAACACAAACCTGGAAGATGAGGGACCCTGACTCAGGAGTGTTAGACTCAAAATACCACATTGCGGTTACCCAGTTCACAGATGAGGAAATGGAGACCAAACCTTGTCAAAGGGCCCAGGCCAACTCCTCCACCTCTACCCATGCAGCTGAGGCTCTAAAACAGCAGAGGATGGTTCTCCATATTGAAGAAATGGCTCAAAAAGCTATGACTTACCCCAGCCTGCAGCTGGGCACTGTGGCCCAGATGGAGCCCAGCTGCAGTGTCCTCCGCTGTGCTGCCATTGCAGGGCTGTGTTCAGCTCTTTGCTGGCTTTTATGATGTTAATTAAACCCAAAGCTCCACGTAAGGTAGGCAAGTACCCTAGTTCTGAATAACTCCCTAGCCCTCTACTTTTTCTTTTCTTTTTCTTTTTTCTGGTTTTTTTTTTGTTTTGTTTTTTTGTTTGTTTGTTTGTTTGTTTGTTTTTGGCAGGGTGCTGGCTGTCCTGTAACTCACTACGTAGACCAGACTGGCCTTGAACTCACAAGAGATCTACCTGCCTCTGCTTCCCAAGCTCTGGGATCAAAGGTATCCACCAGCCACCAAGCCCAGCCTAGCCTCTCTACTTTTTTTTTTTAAGATTTGTTTATTTATTTTATATACATGAGTACACTGTAACTGTCTTCAGACACACCAGAAGAGGGCATTAGATCCCATTACAGATGGTTGTGAGCCACCATGTGGTTGCTGGGAATTGAACTTAGGACCACTGGAAGAGCAGTCAGTGCTCTTAACCGCTGAGCCATCTCTCCAGCCCCGCCTCTTTACTTTTTAACAATAAAAACAATTATAAGAAAAACCTGAAGGTTTTGGGCCTGTGACCCTTTAGAACTAGCAACACAGTGAAAGTGCCCAGCCTTCCTGCAGGAGATTCTATATTATGGCCCAACACCAAAGAAAGCTCGCAGATGTGACATCTCAGTTTCTTCTAGGTGGACTGAGATGGATAAGGCAAAAAGGGCCCACATACACTCTGGCAGCTGCCGTGGCTGTCATGGCTTGTTGGAGAAATTGTTGACTGACTGAGCTGCGGACTAGGCCTGGCACATGTCCTCTGCAAGTCAGACACTGTGATTTATAGATACCAAGATCATGAAAATAGCACATCCTGTTCCAGGAGTGTGTCAAGGTAGAAAGCCCCTCTCACCCCACCCACGCCTGCAGTTGTGAGATAGCAGATTGCACCCACTGTGTCCTGATGTTCTCTGATGGAGAAGGCAGGCATCCGCCATGAGCACTGCAGACACAGCCATGGAGCATCCTCGCTCTCACCCCAAGTAATCATCTGCTTTGTCACTAGGACTCGTGTCACGGTGTGGGAGCTCCCGAAATATCCAGTTAAACAGTTTGAAGTGTCTGTGGCTTAAAATGGCAGCACAGAGAGACTCTGTCTAGTGATTAGTGAGCCATTCTGAAAATGCTTGTGCTTGCCCACGGCAGGGTGAAGCTTGGGCACAGAGCACATTCTCAGAGCCAGGCCACCCGCTTGCTGAGGGGGGCGCTGCAGGCCTCTGCCCAGCACGTGCAGGGGCCACACCTTTTGGCCACAGATTTCAACCTGCAAAGCAGGAGCTGGCAATATGAGTTCTTTGTTCTCTTCCTTTTCAGGTGGAGTTTGGGACTATTTTTGTTGTCCTTACGAATTACTTATACTGAGTCTTCTTATTGCCTATTTAAAGTTTATTTCTACCCTAGATTTTGACATTAGAATGTAGCCAGCTATGGACACAGCACCATCTTTCTTCCTTCCTCTCTCTCTCTCTCTCTCTCTCTCTCTCTCTCTCTCTCTCTCTCTCTCTTTCTTTCTTTTTTCCTTCTAGAAATACTGAGCTAATAATAAGCAAGGCTCCCAGGTGAGGTACCTCTCAGTCCCAGGGAAGGTAAAGAGGCAAGCTGCCCCGACTGAAGCCCATCACCTCATTGTCTAGACTGGGACCCAGCCTTTTTTAGCGTGGCTCTAAAGGTCTAAAAGGCCTTCACTTCTTACTCCGTAATATCTGATAGCAACTTAAATCATTTCAGTTGCATATGTTTTCCAGAATCTCTGCTCTGGGGCCCTTGGCTTAGGCCAAGGCATGACACCTCCCATACCCAGGTTTGAGGGGAATCTTGCCACACCTTGGGTATTCTGCTCACAGCTCACAGTGGACTACTTTTCTCAACCACTGAAGCTTAGAAAGGGGAAAAGGCAGACTAAAGGAAGCTGAGGCGTTTGAGGCTACTGAGTGGTATTTTTTCCTCAAAGGAGAGAAAGAAGACTAAAGCTCTCTGTCCTTTCTTGTCATCAAAGCCCTAGTTTTAGCAGTGTTCCCCTTAGAGGCAGAGCCAGCCGCTTTATGGGAGCAGGGCACTCCCAGACCAAGGGAGCACGTGCCTCTGGCTCCTTCTCCCACTCACAAAGCCACCTCATGGAGCAGACAGAGCCCCCAGGGCTGGGCTGTCCGGCCCTCCTGAGAACCCTGCTCCCTGCCTAGACATGTTGCTACCCCAGTTCCGCTCCGTTCATCTCAAGCCCAAAAGCCTGGGGTAGTCTTTACTGAGGACAGCTGATTCTCCCGTCATGGCTGCTACATGACTAGTCCTTTCTGAGATTAGAAGGTGTTTGCAGCCCTGGCCTGAAAAGGCAAACATGCATAAGCAAAAAGTTATCCATATCAAGAACACGTACTCCCCGCCACCAGCCCCTGCTTATAATTTACCGACTCATCGCTCTCCTCGCCCGCCATTCCACACGTAGCTGCCTGTGCTGCCTGTGCTGCCGCGTAGTTGTTTTGCTCTGTGTACATTTTGGTTTTGTTTGGGGGTTACTTTTGACGATTTACTTTGTTCTGGTGTTCTGTCTTCTTTTGCCTGGCTGTGTGGGGGCTGCCTGACCCCGCTGCTTGCCGCCTCCATAGATTCCCGTTGCGCAGCCCTCTGTCATGGACGACATTGAGGTGTGGCTCAGGACAGACCTGGTGAGACTTGACTTTTACATTTGGTGTGTGGGTTGTGGCAAGGCAGGTGTTCTTTTGAGGACAGGCCTTGGGGCTTGTGGCAGGGGCTCCACCTCCGCAATGGTGGGTTGGAGGAGGGAGGTGAGGGAAGCTCGTAAAACTCGCCTTCCTTTCCAACTCGTGGATCTGGTGGTGCAGGCTCCGGGCACAGCCTCTCAGCCACACGGCTCCGCACAGATGCGGGCAGGTCCCTTCAATGTCTCACTGAACACTGGTCCAGTGGACACTGGAGAGCCCAGCTCTAACCACTTGAAACACACACTGAATCCTCTCCAGTTCCTCTTAAATGGCAGAGGTGTGTGTTTGAGCGGCTCTTCTGCTTGGTTGTTTTTTGTTTCATGCTGCTTTTTTGTTTTGAGGGAGGAGGGTATTTTTGTGTTTTGGTTTTTGTTTCCTTTCCCTTCTTCTCCCTAGTTGGGGATTGAAGTCATTGCGTTGTGCATGTGAGGGGGGCGAGGTGCTGCATCCCAGCCCCCATTTCTTTTTTCTTTCTCTCTTTTTTCCCCCCACAAGCGAGTTAGGTGCTTGGTTTTAAGTTCATCACCATCCCCATTCTCACCATCGTCTCATATTTGCTTACGTGCTCTGCCCCAGATGAATGTCTCTCCATCTTCTGGATGGAGAGAAGATGGCATGTCTGAAGATGGCCTCACGTCAGCTCCCTGATCCTTGCAGAGCATTTCACTCACAGCTGGGATGGAGGGGATCTAGGGGTGGCTACAGGCTTCCTGTGGCTACTCCCACAGCATTCTGTAGTCAGGGGCAAACACTGCCTCTTTCCCAGGGTGCCGGGCCTTCTAAAAATACAGCCCTGGGTGTCAGGGAAGATTGAAAGTTCCCCTGAAATCCAGAAGTGCCTAGAAAGACATATGTCCCTCACCAAGGCAGGAACAGAAAGTCTCAGGCCCTCTCCCAGACTAGACATATTGTCACACATCTATAAGCCCAACATCTGGGAAATGGAGGCAGGAAGATTAGAACTGTAAGTCCAAGTTTAGTTACTTGGTGAGTTCAAGGCCAACCTGGGTGCCCTGAGACCCTAAAGAGCCAAGATTCAGAAAGGATTTGTTAGGAAGGCTCTCAGCAAGGCAGAGATATATCAGGAGAAGCCAGGTAGCTCAGCCCTGCTGGTGAGGCCTGTGTATAAGCGCCTCTCTGTTCACGTGTGGTCCACTTAAATGTGTAGGCTGCACAGCCTCCATGGTCTCTTTAGGCAGCAAAAATAGGAGCTTGGGTCCAGGGGAAGGCTGGCCCAGCTCCCTGGAGGCCATGCTTGTATCTAGGTATCAGCTTCTCTGGCTTTCACTGCTGGAGTCAGGCATAGGCCATGCAGGCCCCAAGCAGCTCCTAGCTGTTAGTGTGGATAGCATCCTTCCAGAATCCCTGTGCTAGCAGCACTGATGTGCCTCAGCCTCATGTTACCATGGCATCTCTCCTCAGAACCTGGTGTTGATGGGTGGGGTTCACCTTTCTGGCCAGGTAGGGACCAGCCTGCACCAATTTTGTATTTTTCTTTTTTGTCTGTTTAGGAAATCAAAATCTAAAATCTTTTTTGTTGTTTTGATTTTTTAAAAAAAAAAAACAAACAAACCTTTTTTCCCCCAAGATTACTCTCCACCTCTCTAATAGGAAGAAGAAAAATCTGGAAGCAGGAAACGTAGCCCTTCACTTGGGTAGCCATGGGTGGGCGGGGGTGGTGGGGTGGGCGGGTGGGCAGGGCAGGGATGAGCCCTAATGCCATTCTCTACTCCATCCACAGAAGGGCGACGACCTAGAAGAGGGTGTCACGAGTGAAGGTAGGCCTGACCAGTGATCTTACAGTCTTCCTGCTCCCTCATTCCTGACTCTCAGGACTGCACAGGGGCTAGCCCCATACTCTGAACTGCTAGAGCCATGTGACGCTGGGCCTGAGCCCTAGTCTTCATGGGGGCTAAATTGTCCCAGACACACAGTGCAGGGCCTCTTGGGCATCTGGGCCTCAGTTGATGGTTAGGTGGGAGCATGGGCCTAGTTCTCCACCAAGGCTCCTGCCCTCTCCCCATTCTGACCTTACCTGCTTTCCATCTTGCCTTCCACACCTCATCCCATGCTTCCTCTCCCCTGGATTCTTCCAGACCCTGTGGCAAAGACCAGTCTAAGGACCTGCCATTGTGCTAAGTGGCTGCCTTCTGCATGCAGCCTTGCTCCAGCCTCTTCCTTGGGTCAGTGAGGGTGGGGCTGTGGTGTCTAAGTAGGTACTGCTCCATTTTCTCAGCCCCGTCCTGTGCTGATCTGGGAGATAGAGCTCTGGGCTCCTGAAGGGGCGGGTAAGCTACACATACTTTTTTAATAGGGTCTTTCTATGAAGGGACTGAAGGCTGCTGGACCCTTTTCTCATCATTGGGGGGCCCACAGCAATATATAGAGCCTTCCCCTCACTTACCCCTAATCCAGCTTTCCCCTGTTCTGTGTGCAGAGTCAGGAATAGGTGATTTCCCTTAGGCTGGTCCTCAGACTGGGATAGTCCAGAATAACATAGGACCTAGCTTTTTGCTCTCTTGCCAGCATCTCTTTCATCTCCACTCCTGTACACATATATTTCCTGCCAGAGGGTCCTGCACACATGTACCTCCTGCCAGAGGACAACCACGCCAGTGTTGTACTGGCTGGAGCTGGAGACCAGGGTGTGGGGCTCCAGCTAAGCGACCCCCAGCAAGCCTGGTCCTCAGTTTGGTTTGTATTGCAGAGTTCGATAAGTTCCTGGAAGAACGAGCCAAAGCTGCAGAAACAGTTCCAGACCTGCCCTCACCCCCAACAGAGGCCCCTGCACCAGCCACAAACACTTCAAACCGGAAGAAGCCAGAGCGGTCTGAGGATGCGCTCTTTGCCTTGTGAGCTGTCCTGTGGTTTGCCTCGCCCTGGCAGGTCACTTCTGACCCTCCCAGTGGACACTGGGCACTGGCCACTCCCCCAGCCTGCATACCTGTATCTCCATGGAAACGCCACTGTGTTTGCACCCAGGCCACCCTGGTCAGGACCAGCTTTGCCATCTTCTCTCTGGGTGGCAACAGCAGCACTGACCAGAGGCCCTGCCCTCCGTCTCCCTGAAGGCTCCTGTGGCCTTCAGCCTTCCCAGGAAGAACCAGTGGCGTAGTGCTGGGCAGGGTAGCCCCATGACACTTTCTGGACAGAACTCCTGAACTGACCCCTCATCTCCCCTTCCTGTTTCTGCCTAGCTCCATGGCTTCCTTCCACTGGACCCCCTTCTTCCGTCAAGGACTCTGGAATGCAGGGCTCAAGTGTTTGTAACTACAGGCTTGGTTTCCCTCCTCAGACCGTGTGGTACCTATGGCACTTAGTGTGTGTACTTGAGTAGGCTCCCTGGGTTACTACCTTGAAGGTCCCTCACGTCCCTTTCCCCATAAGTCAGCTGCCAGGCCTAGGACCAAGACAGGGATCTGTGGCTCTTGGTGTGACAGCAGCAATGAGGCCAACATGTGCCCTGCAGATGGTAGACAGCTTACTCCAGGCCTGACATGCACACTCACATTCATACCTGGCCCTGGTGTCTACAAAGGGTTATTTGCTAAAGCAACATGACTTTAATGCAACCATGACTAGACTTTGCCTCCAGCAGTCTCCACAAGCTATCTCTAGGCTCAGCAGGAGGTGCTGTGTGCTGTGCCTGGAGGTTCCAGATGACCCAGAGCCATACTCCTCTCCTCTCCCTCATGACGTCAGCCTTCATTGCTGTCCCCACCTCACATATTCCCCAGCCAACAATTTCATTCTGAAGCTTGCTAACAGCCTCGATCTGAGCGAATGAGAGCTGGTGATACCTGCCCCTGTCCTGTGTCTTTGTTGGTTTGTTTCCTGGCTCTGAGCAAATGACTCAGTGCCACGTTAATCTTAGTCTAGCTGCTGTTGCCTAGAAAAAGGAAATTGCTGCTGCAGCTGTTACTACATACTATGCAGGTCACCATATTTCCTCACCCACTGTTAGAAGGGCCCAGTGCTTTACCTGTTGCCATTCGAGCTCCCACCCCAGTAGGGAGAGGGGGCTGGGCTGCACTTGCAGTCAGATCAGTGTGCATCAAGGTTCTGTGCAGCTCTGAGGAAGGGGCTACAGCCCTGGCTGAAAACAAAAATGGCCTTCCCCAGGCCCAACCCAGCACCTCTCCTTCAGCAGTCTCTGGAAGGTCTGGCGAGGACTTATCTGGTAGGACCTGTGGAGGATGTCATTCTAGCTTTCGAAGGGCATCCAGGAAGCCCCTCCTACAGGGAGATCAGCTGACCTGCTAAGTGGCCAGCTCTCTCTGAGCACCTGGCTCACCTCCACCCTCCATTCAGGACCCTTGGCCAACCAGAGCTTCTCTCTCAATGTTTCCCAAGGGCAGAGCCCTCAAAGGCTAGCTTGGCTGCTAAGGCCTCTGAAGGCTGGTCACACCAGAGGAGTCTGGGGAGCTCAGTATACCTGGAAGCTTGGCCTTTGGCACAGTTATAGAAGGGTTGTCTGTGAGGGTCAGCTGCACACAGCCTACAAGAGTTGGCCATGTGGGCAGTAGCAATCATGCCAGTGCCTCTGAATTAAGAGGCTGCCCCCTGTTTATGAATGATATAGGAAGGAAGATAGGCTTCCATCAGGGAGAGAGACCGATGTGGGGGCCCACCCTGGGGGTCCCCAACAAGGTCGTTCCTAGCACCAGTGTCCAGAGCTGTCCCCTGACCTCCTGACTGCAGCTGCTGGGTCTTGCTGAAGCTGGGTTGCTGTGGGGACAGCAGGTACTCAAGGACTACCACCAGCCATCAAGAGGCTACCTTTCTGGCTGGGAGCAGCCCAGCTGATGGTTTGTGTTCTTCACATTGTGTCTGGAGGTAGTCTGCCTTACTTGTGGGCTGAAGTGACATGTGTCTGAGGCCTCTACCAGAAGCAAGATTGGGCCTGGGGGCCTGGGGGGGGGCTGAAGGGGTTCAGCTCTTGTGAACTGTCCTGTCCTGAGGACTCTTTCCTACCTGTTCTAGGCCTACCATCTGTGGGCAAAGTCCTTAGAAGCTGGGCCCTCTCAAGCCAGCAGCCTCTACAAGTGTTAGAAATCACAGAGAGTGTGTACTTAATTACACTAAATTATTGCCGGGGCTCCTCATAAGCACTAATTACACCTGATTATAGGTTAAAATATTTATTTTGTCAAAATATTTTCTTGAGGATGTATTTAACCTTTTCTTGTTCATTGTGTGCTGAAGTGTGAAGACTGCTTCTTCCTACCTTTTTGGCTGTCAGGCAACAGTGAAGGAAAGTCACCAGATGCCCTAGAGTGACCTCTGCCCAGGTACCAAGAAGGCAGGCTGGAGTTGGGCCGAGAATCGACAACTTGTTTATCTGTACATGGTCATGGGGGTTTGGAGCCAAAAGAGCTTCTTGGTAGCTGTGGCCAGATCTAGCTTCCACTTACTCTGTCAACCCCTCAGTGTGAGTGACTGTGACTTGGCTCATTACCCTTGTCCTCCCCACCTGGCCCATGCTGTCTGCCACGGCACTGCTCGGCCCGGAAAGTGGCGGCTGGGCCCTAGTGGCCCAGGAGCAGTAGCGCCTTTGTTCTACCACAAAGCTTCCCTGCCTCTGTCCATCTGTCTCTCAGATGGCTCAGGACAGGCCATGGGCACTCTGGGGGCCAGGTCAGCCCTAGGTGGCAGGAAGGGCAGAATGAGGGCCTTGGTTCCTGCCCGTCCCGTCTGCAGCCTCCCTGTGGTCTGCTGTTGGGCTGCCTGGGGTCTCCCTGTGTGCTCAGCCACACAGGAGGCCAGTAGGGGAATATGTCTCCTCTTGGAAAGCCTCCCTTGGTGGCCCTCTGGAACCTACATAGCCCAGTGCCCATCCCCAGCCCTCCTTGTTCATGGGGTCTAAGCTAGGCTTCCCCTGGCTCCCAAGAACAACTGTCACCCTATGTCCTAACTGCTCCTGTCACACTGACACCCTCAGACTCTGGGAGAGCTGGGGTGGAATTTCTTCCTAAAGTTTGCACTTCCCTTGTGAGGATCTGAGGATCTTTGGAGCTGCTGAAAAGATGGTATTGTTTGTTACCTGTTGTCTCTATTGTTGGCAAATCGGATTCTTGTCCCTGTCCTATGTTCTGTGGGTAGAGCTGGTTCTGGAGGGTGGCTCAGAGTGACAGCTAGTGTGCCCCACCCCCACCCCACTGGCTCTACTTCCAAACACTGTCTCTAATTTGTGTTCTTGCATGTAAAGTACTCTACAATAAATAGTTGAACTAGCCCTTCCTGTGTGGTGTCTGATTGACCTGACCATCCAAAGGGCCTGGAAGTTGGCCCACCTGACTCCTTTTTAAATATATATATTTTTTCTGTGTTTATGTGTGTTGTCTGAGTGTAGATATGTACACTTATTAGTGCAGGTGCCCACAGAGGCTAGGAGAAGGTGCTGGATTCCCTGGAGCTGAGTTGGAAGGTGGTTATAAGCCTCTGTGTGGGCCCTGAGAACCTAACCTCAGCTCTCCGCAAAAATGTGTATTCTCTAACTAGTGATGCATCTCTCTAGCTCCCACCTGCTTTTTAATTTTATTTCATGTTTTGAGATAGGGTCCTACTATGTAGCCCAGGCTGGCCTCTAACCCAGAGATCCTCCAGCCTCTGTTTCCCAAGTGCTGGGATTAAAGGTCTGGGCCAAACGAATGCCTTCATTGAGGGAACAGTTGCAGACCGCTCTCCTTAGCTCTCCGAGGAAACTCCTACAGACCAGCAAGCTTTGGGGAAGGGGCAGGTGTCTATTTACTCTGGGTACCTAAGAGCCATAGACTGGGTATGATGAATTTTCCTCTGACTCTGATATGGCAAGGTCACTCACCCTGGCTCAGAGCAAGTAGGCCTGAGGCACCCAAACCCCTCCACCTGGGTTTCTGCCAAAAAAAAAAAAAAAAAAAAAACAAAAAAAAAACATCAGAATCTTCTACAAAGCCATGCCAAGCACCAAGTCCAAGAGCCTTGGCTCCTGGAGAGTTGGCCCCTCTCCCCAGCTTTGTCTTTTAAAATCTACAGTTCACACCATAGATACTGTGTACAAACTTTAAATGTACATTTGGATGGTTTCAATCAAGAATTAGAGGGTTGGTTGTGTGACCATCACAATTTTAGAACCTCCTTGTGACCCCAAAGCAATTAACCTCTGCCCCCCCCCACCTGTCTTCCTTCCTGTGGGGCTCCTGTGCTGTTTCAGGAGGCTGCCCTAAGGCACTATTCTGATGTATTGTCCCTTAGGAGTTGGCCTGTCAGCCCTGAGCAAAGGGAGCAAGTGGAGAGACAGAGTAGGTGGACCCAGGTGCCTGTGCCTATGTCTCCTTTAGCTTGAGGACTTGAAGCCCTTCAGACCTTTCACTTCTTGGATTTGAGGGTGGAACTCAAGTGTACTAAGTGTATCCAAGTTCTGTGTCCCTGGCTAACATCTGCCAGCCCTTCACGGTGCTAGAAAAGTTGGGGCTGGGAAAAGCCACAGACTTGCTTTTGGACAGAGATGAACATTGCTTAGACCCAGACTCCAGTCTACTGGATGGGCAGCAAATGAAAGACTCAGGAGGCACAGCCTGATGGGGTCTCAACAATCACTAACCCAGACCGGGGTGTCTACATTCAGCACCCTAAGACCCACTGTCACCCCAGGATTCAGGAGCTGAGACTCTGACCAGGTGGAGTGAATTGCAAGCCCTCAAACAGGAAAAAGAGGAGTATACCCTTGCAATAGAGGAAGCCCACAACCCAGATCCTGCTGAGCACACAGCAGGATCTGTGTCCTAGCTCTGTGCTAGGCACTGGGGCATTAAAGAATCCAGAACCCAATATCTGCCCTGTGAAGAGCAGGTGGGCCGAGTCTGCTTTGGCTCACAAGGCCCAAGTGCACTTTCCCTACTAGTGTTCCTTATGCCTGTGCTGGGCTAGTGCTCAGCCCCTGCCCTTGGGGAATTTGAAGGCTTGTTCAGTTCCCAGAACCAAGGCTCCTCCTCTGCTGAGAGCTAGAGAACTGTGATCTGCAGGGAGGAAGGCTCTGGCACAGCTAGGGTAGACTGGCCAGACCAGGAGGGAGGGCAGGATGGTCATGCAGCTATGATCTGGCTGACAATTCTCAGAGGAGGGACTTTGCAACCCCAGGTGGGCACTTGCCAAAGTGCGGTTTCCCAATAGACTAATAGATGCTCCTGTAAAGTAGGAATTCTGTGAAAGGAAACAAATGCAAGACATGTTGGAGAAAACTGGAACCAGGGCCTCTTTGTCAGGATGGAGTCTGTGGCCCAAATGCCTCACTTAAAGGGTGTTGGGTGTTGCAGAAATTGGTTAATGAGTCAGAGGGAGGAATAGGTATACAGGAACAACTGTATACAGGTGCCACCTATATATTAGGCTAGCTGTTTGTTCTTTGTGTGTCTTGGCTCTGCTTCCTCAGGGTTGGCTCTGCTATAACACACTAGACAATGCCAACAGCTCCAGGCCTTAGCTCCTTTCAGTGGTTTACACAAAATACCTAGAACTCACTTTCAAACTCCTGACTGTTAGAGGAAGAAAACCTTCACAAGGTCTACAGCATAGGTTCGTTTGACCCCTGGGGTACATATAGACAGCGACAAACTTCTAGCTCTTCTTTTTTCCTGCTAGGCCTTGCTGCCTTCCCTCCTATGGAGTCCCATCTTGATGATGGGCCCCACCCAGCAGTCTTCACTGAAGCTCTTGATGTGAAAGGACCTTCACCATCTATAAACTTTCCCAAGGGAAAGATGTCTTCTGGATCTTGGGCAGGAACAGAACCAGAGACCTTAGATAGGCACGATTCCCAGGAAGTGCCGCTATATTCAAGGAAGCTATTAGTTTGTTCTTTCATGGTCTCTGGAAGGCTATGTTCGGGTCTCTAGGACCATGTCCTGAGCATCCCAGTAGGTCTCTGAGTGGAATGGGTTGGGGTAAGATCCCAGGGAAAATGAGGACGGAAAAAGGAGCCCACACATTGACTCAAAGGACAGCTAGTTGTCAGTGTGGGATGGCCTGAAATCCAGGTGAAACATTCTGTGTTTTAACCTGTCACAGTCCTTGCAGCAGATTGTTTGGCTTGTCTCCTGTGCACCTCCGCTTCCATTTTGGGGGCCTCCCTGAATCCCTGAGCAGATACTGCAATCCCTTCCCTTTTGCCTAAGACTCTAATGAGAAGTCCCAGTTGAGACATAAGAGACGGGAGCTGCCAGGCTGGTGTCAGACAGACTGCTGCCTCGTCCTTCTGATTGCTGGGAGTATCGAGAGGGATGGCACTGCCCCTCTGCCAGAACCCAGAACATCTGGTGGTCTGTGGGATGCTTCACCCCTCTACTCAACGAGGTCAAAGCGAGTTGTAGTGGCCATAGTGTCAGAAGACACAGGGTCTGGAAAAAAAAAACCCACTCAGCACATGGGCTTCCCTCCTCTGTTCATCATATACTATTTTTCTATAAGGGCTCTTTACACCTCCAAAAAATCTGGGAGATGGAGACTCTGTTCTTTCTCTTCGTAGTGGGTCTTGAATAAACCTGCTTCTTCCGATCAGACTCTGCTCCTGGGTTTGGACCTGGAATTCAACAGTAACTCCCTTAGGCTGGACTTAACTGGTGGCAGGTGATGTCATCAATTGATGTACTTTGCTCTCCTCTGGGACTCAAGAGTGTGCCGCTGGCTCCCCCCCAACACACACACCCAGTAGCCAGCATTTCCCCCTCATTTGTGAGCTTAACCCCTCACTGTGCACAGGCTGTGGCCATACCCAGCCCTCGTGTGGAGATCCATCAAGAGACTGATGCCAGGCAGCTACCACAGTGGATTGAACGCAGAGCCTCAGAGAGTGTTAAACACTTCCTGAACAGCTCGCATCAGAAGTCGACTCTAATGATACCAGCCCTCATCTAGGGCCAGCATTCTCCAGTCAGCAGTCCCTTGTATAAAGTGGTATCAGGAGACTAAGCCCTCCCAGGTGGCTCTGGACTCTTAGCAGTCTATTCTCACTGCCTGATTCTCTTCTCCTTCGCCCAGGCCGGCCCAAGCTTAGTTCCTGCAGTCGAGAAAGATAATGGGGTCACGTAGAGTGGCAGCAGCCTCCAACCCAGCGCTTGCCATTCCACGGACCACCGAACTCCCAACATTGAGGGCACTGCTGAGCAGAGAGGTCCTGCTGCTCAAGGTTCAGGATCTCCTGTGCTTAAAAGGTGGGGACCAACCGGGAGGTGCATGCTGGTCCCCCAGGTAGCGAAGCTGGAGCAGGCACAGAAATCTGGACTTTAGAAGCCATGCTTGCAGTGGAGCAGTCCCACCAGACAGAGCGCGTATCCTCAGGTCATACCGCCCCGCCCCCGGGTCGAACGGGCTCTGGGCACGTGACCAGAGCCCGAGTCCCGCGAGCGCACGCTGACGCCGCGTCACCCCACTCGGGGCCCTGCACCCATTGGCTGCGGCGCCGTGAACGGGGCCTGTCGTCTGGCAACCAGGAGTCCGGGGTCTCCGCGCTGCCCACTCCACACTGCGCACTGCGACTGTCCCCAATGCATGACTACTTTGGGCAGCGCTGCGGAGTCCTAGGCAGGTCACTTCGCCTCTAGCCTCAGTTGTCTCATCTGTAGAATGGGAAGGGAGCAGACGGCTTCCTAAGGCTTTTGGGAGGATTGAACGAGTTAATACAATAAAAAAAAAAAAGTATTCGGCATGTCACAAGCATGCCCCATGACTGCACAATGCTGAGCCTGCTGACCCAGGTAACTATCGGTCAGGCTGAGATCAGCCTCTCCCAGGCTCCCCAGAACAGCTTGTGTGCTGAGCGCCAAAGCTCCCAGCAAGGCAGTCCAGAGAGCTTTGCTTGGAGGTCTGGGGTGTTTGAGACAGATCACTAACTTCCTCTGAAGTTTTCCAAGCTTTCCCCATGGGGAAAAGCTGCCCCTTGGCTGCTGCCCTAGTAAACCCAGTCTGTGGAGTAGAGATTTGTGTTGATGATCTGCTCTCCCACCTTGGGCTTTGCTCCATGGGGGGCTTGGCTTTTCTTTCCTTTTCTTCCTTCCTGCCTTTCTACCTTTCTTTCTTCCTTTCTTCCTTCCTTCTTTCTTTCTTCTTTCTGGCTTTTCAAGGCAATAGACCTAGCTCCTGCAGCAGTGAGATGTGTATTTGTGGACGTATACGCTTTACTCAGTTCCAGAACAAGGCAGATCTGTTGTGATGACTCCAAACACCTTGCCCTGTTCTGCAGGGACAGCTCTAGTAAGTTGAC